TCGATTTTCCTGCAGCTCTTTCATTCATTCTTTGTTCATGAGATTCAAGCGTCCCTTGAAGCTCTTCCTTTGTCAATTTCGACAAGTCTTTCCCTTCTTCTATCGCCACCACTATGTGTTCAAACTTAGGAGCTAAAGATCTCAAGATTTTCGAAACAACAACTCTTATTGTTAATATTTCTCCACATACCTTGATTTGATTCATAGTTTTGTAACTCTAGTGAAGAAATCAAATATGCTCTCACTATCTTCCATCTGAAGCAATTCGTACGTTCTCTTGTGAGTTTGTAACCTCACTTCTTTCACCTTTTATGCACCACCAAAGAACTTCTCAAGAACATCCCAAGCTTCTTTTGCAGATTCTGAATCACTTACTTTTTCAAAATTTTCTGGACTCACACATTGATGAATTATAAATTGTGTTTTATAACTCAGCTTCTCAATTTATGTGTGTTTCTTCTTTTCTTCTTCTGAAGCGTTTTCTCCAAGCGCTTCGACTCCATATTTTATAAGGTTCCAAAGCCCTTGACATCTGAACAACACTTTCATCTGTTTGCACCAATTCTCATAGTTGCCTACTTTCAGAATTGGTAGAGTTGCTGGACAATTTGCATTCCCATGATTCGCCATCGTGAATTCTTCAATTGTTCTTGATTGATACTTCCCTTGAATCAAAACTGAGCTCTTGATACCAGATGTTGGAAATCCACCAAATATTTATGATAAATTTCTACTTCAATGACAATGAATTATGAGAAAAACAAAAAAAAAAAACAATTATTTTCTGCAGAGTTTCTCTCTGCCCACAAACTGTAGAAAACTTTGTTATTCACTTGCAACTGCAAATTTTGTGAATGACTTAATTGACTTGATTACAAAATAGGGGTTACTCCCTCTATTTATAGATTTAGCTTGTACCCTAAGCCCAAAACTATAAAAGCCCAAAATATCTATTTTGGTACTAAATCAAATATATTTTGTTTTAGATTTAAATCAAATCTTATTTAAATATAAAACAAATATAATCTCTTTCGACACTATGAATTACAATTTAACACCAACAACGACCACAAGAACCCCATCCTCAACGTGCCTTGCGACGCTCCACTAAAACTGATATTTCGTCCACGAGCGGAAAACAAATAGAAAAGTGCAACTTATCACCTTCCTTTAGATGCCTGTCTCTAGAAAAGTCATACCACCCACCTAAGAGACACTTATCTAATTTCTTTGGCCTCTTTTTCACTTCGTAGTGGTACGACACAAATTCGTCAGCGTCCCAGAGAACAAGGTTTCTAATTCATCCATGAAGACATTTCCTGATAACAACTCTCGGGATTTACTGCACATTTAAACATTCATATCAGTGACAATTAAATTTGATGAACCTATTATATTCCTACAAATGTTTGCCTACAGTGCTTACAAGCACATTAGACCTCAACTTCTTGGGATTAATTACCACCCTACTCCACTTTTCTTCATACTCTTCCTCATAGATGGGAGAAAAGTTCTTGCAAAAATTTAGCAGAACATTTGAACATTAGTTATCATTCTCCGTTTCTTTCCAACCTATTATACATCCAAAGCTAACTATTCAAGTTACATAATAATCAAATCACAACTACCTTTCACCATCATATGAAACCATTATGTAATCGTGATTATCGGGCCCTTCCACACCACCAACAGAGTTAAGATCAACAACTTTTCCCCTGCCTTTTTTACCCCTACAACCTGCATCATCAGTAAGAGCCCATACTTTAGTCTTCCCTTTCCCATTTTCTAGCACTACATCAGCCTTACTCTTGCCATTAGATGACTCTTCACCAACAGTCAAGTTGTTCTTGCATTTTTTCACTGATTTTAACTCCTGGTATGCCACATATGCCGCGTAGTTCGACATGCGTTTTTGGAACAAATCCCTTAGAGCATGAGGACTGCAAAACAAAATTTGTTCGCATGTGAAAATCAGAATAAATAATCAACACGCATGAAAAAACAAAATAACCCTAAATCATATGATGTTGTAACAATAACGTTTCCAGATTGTAAAACTAAATTTTTATGTGTTTATGAAACATATAACTACCCCTAATATGTTCATCATAAAATCGCTGGCGTCAGACAACGCATGCAAGTGATTCTTACGCTTACGTGGACTATGTTTGGAAAATAATGTACAATCATTAACAACAACAACCAATATACTCTTACACCGATGGATTCTCTTTGATTAAGGGTAATCTGTTGGAGTTGGATACTCGTTCCATTGTTACTTACCTGAGGATTTGGTTATGTACGCTATGTCAATGGGGTTTTGAAGAAATGATTGTGTATGGTATCAAAGTGAATGATGGGAGAAAGAGCAGTATGAGGCGTTTCCTATTTCCTATATAACTAAATGATGTTTTATTGTTTCATATTCCCAACATTATGTACTTACTAGTAAGAAACCCGTGCTATCGAACGGGTCTCGTCTGGATTCATATTATACGTCTCTTAATTTCATTGTCAAATTTGCATTCATTTATTCAATTGATTAACATTCATATAGTTACAAATATAATAAGTGTCTTTAACCTATGTGTCTATTTATTAAAAAATTTGTAACTTGTTCCCGTTTATAAAAATACTTGTATCAATAGTTGAATTTTTTCCGTTTATAAAAATATTTGTAACTTATTTCCGTTTATAAAATTATTGTAACTTATTTCCGTTTGTAAAAACAATTATATCAAAATGTAGACGTTTTTCGTCTGTAAGTGATTTGTACATTCATCTCTTAAAAAACTATGTAATTGAATCTTGCAATTTGACAAAAATAGTATAATCATTTAAATGCTTATCACAAAAAACCTTCATAATAAGTTTAAGTAATATAAAATAACCTAATGATATTATTGTAACAATAACACAAATTTAAGAGAGAAAACATCGATGTAATCTAAAATTTAGAAAGATTCGAATACATTTCCAATTAAATAATTAGAGTGAACCGCTTCCGCAAATTTATTTTTAATCATTTGAGATTATCAAAATTAACTTGTTTGAACAACATTAACTGACCAAAAAAGTGCAAACAATTTTTAATAAATAATAATCAAAGAGTAAAAGTAACAAACCCACAAATCAAACTTTTCAGATCAAGGGGAAAATTCATCGCTCATGAATTAAAGAAACAAATCAAATTTCACTTTTATCATAATAACAAAGATATTAAAAAGAATAATATATCTTTCAAGATTTTTTTGACTTTTCAAGAACAAATAAAATCCAGTCATTAACATATATAACTAATACATTAAATATATATTATGTCTTCAAATATTATTTCCAAATATATAACAAACAGTTATTATGATATATAACTAATATATTAAATATATATTATATGTGTTGAAGATATTATCCACTTCTCAATATCCATTATAGCTTGCACAAATCCTTAACCCACTGCATTAAACAAATAATTGAACAAGTGATAAACAAAATATATGTAAATGGTAATACATCTAAGCTCATGCAATTTGTTAAAAGAGATAATGATAACTTACAATTTATAAAAAAATCTCTGTAACTTTTGTGAACACATTTCTTTGCTCATCTAAAAAAACCCAAACAATGAAACAACGTATTTGATATGATGTTACTCACAAATGTAATATAAAATATATAAAGTTTTTAATATAACTTTTCTAGAAAAGTGCATATCTATTACTTGAACATCCAGAATTAATGCAATATGCCTTACAACTTATAATAAATTAACAATACATGTATGAGATATATATAACAATGGCTGAAAATTGTTTTTAAAAAACCATATTAATTTAGACCACAGTATGGTAAACAACTGGCAATAAAATATAAATAAGAACTTTTGCTTCAACAGAGTTGACATAGCTAGTTGTTATGTCAGCTACATGTGATCCATGAGAGTTAACAACAATCCTTTGTTGTACTGGGAATCTCTCTGCAGAAAGAGTTTGTATACCTAGTAGCTAGTTTGCACAGATAGTTAACCATCATTTTCTCAATGAAACCAAGCTCTTTGTTCTACTGTGATTTTTCCCACAGACACACAAACTCAGGATAATCATATGGAACCTTTTAATACAAAATTAAAACTGGGATGTGGTTCAGGTAATATAGATATCATGCCATTGAGTTTTAGTTTCATATAGAGCAAAATGATTACTTGATAACTTGAGCTCAAGGCTTTCCATAATCTACACAAAGGCATGTTGCGGCTTTTTTTATCAAATCAGCATCAACAACTTTATGTTGCAGCTTGTTTACCAAATCGACAGCAACAAATTCGCCATATTAGCTTTGCAAACAACAAAAACCACACTAATTCACTGCATTTAAACCAATAGTCAGAAGAATCCAATTTAATCATAAATATATGTTACTAATCTGGGGTAGCATTACAGAGAAGCAACCCAACTTCTACAGACAGAACATTCATGTAAACAAAGTAATCCAACTTCTATAGACAGAACAATCATGTAAACAAAGCAACCTAATTAACGGTATCGACATGTCATTGCTGGTTTTTATACATGTAGAAATCAACATATAATCATCAAATGATTAAATTTGAATTACCTGTAAGAGTTTTTCCATCAGTGGCTAATTTATACTTCTGAACATATAAAACCAAAACCTTCACTAAGTATAAAAAACAAAACATAATCAACACATACATCATTTGAGAGTAACTTAAAAAGAACCCTTTTCAGTGTTGTGCTTGAATATGTTGATGAGTCCATTGAGAAACAGATCTAATTGCAGGGAAACCTAATGCAAAACAGTAATTAAGATTAGAATGATTCAAAACATTCATGAATACATTAACCGACTGAAATAACACGATGGCTTTTATAGTTGAATCAACAATGCAAGTTTTCTCATATGGAATCAGAAGTTCTAGAGATAACCAACATCACCATTGATGAAGTATACATATCATTCATTACTATCATATAAACAATTCAATCAAACTGATCAACGATGGCATCAAGGCGACTTGAGATGGATAAACTTCTGCAGTACCAAATCCTTTGATTGGACGGATCAGACATCACGTTCATGAGTCCTGCACCAACTAATGGATCTACCTTTCCTATCTCCTTATCAATTGTAGGCTTCCAATTTGAAAGTAAACTTCTCGGATCAATAAAAACAACAGAAAAATAATTCCATAATAGCATAACCAACTGCATAATCAAGAGGAAAATTCCAAATCAACATATAATTTAATTGAGATACCAAAGAAACCACACCTCATTAAACTACAAAACTAATCAATTAAGTTTAGCAGAAGGTGAACATATGTGTTTGATCATGTTTGGATAAACTTCCTAAGAAACACATATGGAAAAAATTCTATTACCTGAAATCTTCCAGTAAGCATTCAAGGAAAAAGCACAGCCAGATCATTTTGTTAAAAGGATATTCTTATCAGATGGCCATGGCCGGTGTGTCTCCACAGATGTGTATTCTTAATACCCATAGACAACAATTTGAAAGAGAAAAAAAACTACAAATTCATCAAAACATGATATCATTAACGCTTACTGATGATTAAATGAAGTAGAATAAACGTGGGAACTTTCCAATAGCATGGCCTTCCAGAGCTTGAAACTCTTGATTTAAACCAACATCAAATACTACCCATAACCCCAAAATAACAAAAAATTTGCATATAGAATATGATTTTAATTATAGAACCTCAGTTAGATCTAAAGCTTCACAATCACATAATTGAGGTTAAATTATCAACTAATTCATAATTAAAACCTCAGTAGACCCCTTAAACAATTCTTATTTATAACTCATAAAAGAATTGGATTCACGAAATGAAATGAAAAAAAACCTAATTGTAGTGATATAAGAGGGTGAGAAAATTCTTTCTTCGTTGAAAGAAATATTGGTACCTTAAGCTTCTGCCTTCCTTCGTTGCTTTCTTCCGCAAGATCTAAACTGTTTCCAATGAGATTTGGTGAAGCAATTGAGGCGCTCACAAGTGTGTTTTCGGCGAGCCATAAAGTGTTCTCAAAGCTGAAAAAACCATACAAAAAACATGATGTTAGCTATAGATTCATAAATATCAAACAAATAAGTATTATATAACCAAAACAAGTAAATGAGAGAAAAAACGACAATCGAAAAAGAAATAGGGCGTACCATAGTTCTAACATACGCACGGGAATGAGATGGAAGAAGGAAAATTGGATGCAAAGAGAGTTATGGGAGATTGGACGCAGAGAGAGTTATGGGAGATTGAACGCAGGGAGATTTGACGCAGAGAGAGTTATGGAAGAAGAAAATGGACGCATAGATTGGAATGATGGTTGATTGAAAACTCATAGTTATAATGCTAATTGATAACCATCATGGGAAGTTGTGAGACTTTCCATTGTCCAAATAAATGATTTTGATTTTGAATTCAGTTTCCTACGTATCCCATAATTTTAATAGGCAGTTCAACCAACATAGAAATTATTAAAATAAAATAAAATAAGTAAGAAAAAATATAAGAGTGACATATAAGAAACAATTAATATCAAATGCATATAATTACAGCAAGGATGTAATTAGTCACTTTTAACCCTGGAATTAGAATAGTTAAAACTTATTGTCAAAAGGTTATACATGATATTTTCAGGTACTTTAAAATTTATATATTATCTATTATCTATCTATAAAAATCATAGTCCCTGGAAATTACCACAACACCACAGCTGAAAAAATCCATTGTTGGTCTATTGTATTGGGGTAAAATTGGAAACTCCAAAATATCTTGCACCACATTGATTTGAATCTGATGTGGCACTCCCACAATTTTTCACCACATTTTCAATTTTTTTTTTTCAAATACTCTTTGATATTGTTTTATTTTTTTTCATATACCCTTTCCCATAATAATAGCCGCCTTATTCACTCTCCACATTATTTTTCTTTCTCGATGGAAACCAGTAATCAATGTAGGTTTCTCAAAGGTTTCAAGCAATACTTCTCTGCATATAACAAGGTAATAATGTTCATCTTCTACTGCTTTAATGATGTCATCCCTTTAATGCAAAAAATTTATCTCCCAATACCTAATGAGTGCATCGACAACGTCGATTCTTGGATTTTGAAGGTTATTGCTTTCAATTTTAGGTATTTCCTGTTAACTTTTCCCGTGTATAAATGTAACCTAATTCTTCTCCAATTTTTCATATCCATCGAATCCTTCTCTTTGGTATTTCAAAATTCTGCAATGGCCTCTGTAAGATGCGACTACGTTACTGAAATCACTCCTGCAAAGGAATCCTGGGATGTTGTTGTTCAAGTTATTCGCTTATGGTTTGTGTCAAACATGAATTCGAAGCAAAAATATTATGTGATGGAAATGGTTCTAATGGGTGAAAAGGTTGTTGATGTTGCTTCGCTTTTAAATACTTTGCATATTATTTTCTATGAATTTTTTCTAATCTTTCATCATTTCTAATGGATAGGGTGACAACATTCAGGCTTCTGTTAAAAAAAATCTGCTGTCTCGGTTTGATAATAAGATTCGTGAGGGTATTGTTTATAATTTTAAATATTTTGGTGTGGCTGCTAATACTGGAGTGTATAGGACCATAAAACACCAGTTCAAGTTGAATTTGCAGAATCCCACTGTGGTTACAGAAGTTGGTGCTGACTGATAACATGCTTACTCATTTGTATCTTTCCCAGAGATAGTTGGGAAAATTGACATGGACTACTTGATTGGTAAGTATCATTTACTTTAAAACTTCCATTTTCTTATAAACATGTATTCTGAGTTTTCAATTTTTATTATCTGAAATTTTTGTTTTTGATCAATAAGATGGTAATGTGTTATGTCCTATTTATGTAATAGATGTTGTGGCTATTTTGTCTGATGTTGGACGTGAAAGGGTATATGAAAGAAATGGTGTAACTACTAAGTTTAAGGTCATTTAATTGCAGTCTAATGGGTAAGCTATTTTTAAATGTTATAAAACTTATATACTTTTATGTGTCATTTATGTATAACTTGCGAGTTTAGCGGTTTCGTACTTTTTTCTAATTGTAGTATGAAGCTTGAATGTACACTCTTTGGGCCATATGTTGATGAGCTTGATGCATTCCTCCAATCGGGTAACAGCGAGATTGTTGTTGTGCTTGCTCAATATCTCAAAGTTAAAATCTATAATGGAAAAATCCAGATGCAGAATGCAATGAGCAGCAAATCTATTATATTGCAGATTAAAAATAAATCTCAGAAAGTTATGGCTTATCATTTATAAAACAATTTCGATTTGAGTTGATATCTCGAGCTATGGCTTATATTTTTTTTGTTATATAATTTCAGGTGACATTGATCTTTCCATTAAAAGACCAACAATACTTCGCGAATGTTTCACAAAATTATGTAGCCATTTGGAAGTCTTTTGGAATTTTTATCGATGAAGAAGGTAAAGTAATCGACGAGTTTGTTTTTGTTTAGGGCAACCCCTACCCCTTGCCAGGATATTGATTCTTCTAATGAGTTGAAACAAATTCTGGTCATTGGTTTTGTTTCGAAATGGTACTCAACTGCTAAAGCTTTCCTTTAAATTTTATCTTTTGTAATGATAACTTAAGGGTTGATTTCACATTTCATGCAGCTTATCCCAGTATCTGGCTTCTGTGAAGATGGTAGGTTATTTGAAGGTAAATTTATTTTTTGTAATGATAACTTAAGGGTTGATTTCACATTTCATGCAGCTTTATCCCAGTTAGAGAAAAATTTGACAGCAACTACAGCTTCACATAACTATGAGCAGATGATGCCAGCTGCTGATGCCTCAGGTGTTTTGTGCTGGTGTGATACAGGACACTCCAAAATCCATTTCTTAGATTTTAAAATATATTTGCAACATTCTACTGAACCAAAATGGTGTGGACTAATGGCATTTCAACAATCTGTCAATTGCTGTTATGGGATAGTGTTCTAAACAGCTGAGACTTTTGTTGCAGCAGGTAAGTAACATGAAATGGAAGCTGATTGTAAAATGTTTGGTTTACAGGTGAATTTGCGTGAAATATAATATAATGTCTATGTCGAAATCTGTTTTTTATCCATTTGTTATGACATCTCTCTGCAGGCAGCAATTGCAATTGCACAGAGACTTCGTACCGCGAGCGTTTTCTTGCAAGTATCCTAACCAAGTAAGTCTATATTCATATATCATTCTATTCAAATTAATGTTTATAGTTCTAGCTTCTGATGAAATACTAATATATTTTAACGTGATGTGTTCAGGTTTCATTTGATTTGGTAGAAAAGTACCCAGAGGATTGATTTGGTAGAAAAGTACCCAGAGGATTATAATGGTTTTAGAGAGAATGCATTATTTCAAGACTATCATCGACTTATATCTATCAAAACTGCAATGGCAGCCTTCATGGAATAAGTAAGAGGTGGTAGACCCAAATTCGAGCCACAAATAATAGTCATTACTCCTGGAGCAGCTGCTGCTAATGAACTCTTAACCTTCATGGAATAAGTATATATGATGAATAATTTGTATACTTATCTTTTTATTGTACTTTTGTAGGTTTGATAAAGATTTAAGGTGGAAAACTGGTGTAAAGATAGTGCCAATTCATTGCAACAGTTCTAACAATTTCGAGGACGTATAATGGATGGCAGGTTTGGTGCAAATCAAAGGAAAAGTTTCAGACGTGTTGGGAATTTTTCTTATTTGTAAGTTTTTTAATAACTTTGTTTCAATAACTTTTGTAACAATTTATTGATGCTTGTATTGATCATTCTTTGTTTTATGAAGTTTTCCGGTGCGTGTTTGATTCTGTGTGCATTTCAATTTTTGGTGAATTTTTCTTATTTCCTTTTATTTGTGCAGTTTAAAATTCCATATATATGGTTTTCATGATATATTTAATTTCCCTTAACCCTTGGATAGCAATTAGTAGATTGTATCTATAAAGTGCAATTTGTGTTCGTTGGACTATTGAATCATTTCAACAATAACTATCAAATTTTCCATCTTTTCGATTCAGTGTCAAACTATGCTGTCAATACTCCAAAAAGAGGGATACTGGCACAGGAAGAAAAAAGAAGGAACCCGTTTGAGAAGAAAGAGGTTGTCCACAAAGAAAGAGGTAGTCCAAAAAGAGGTATAGAGATTGGTCATTTTTATTGTTGAGAATTGTTTTATCTGCTACACCACCTTATTTGTTGTTATATCATTTCAGTAAAGTCCAAACAAATTGTTATGTTATATATATATATATATATATATATATATATATATATATATATATATATATATATATATATATATATATATATATATATATATATATATATATATATATATATATATATATATATATATATATATATATATATATATATATATATATATATTATAAATCTATAAAAATGATAGTCCCTGGAAATTACCACAACACCACAGCTGAAAAAATCCATTGTTGGTCTATTGTATTGGGGTAAAATTGGAAACTCCATTGTTAGTATGTTCATGGCACAATGGGTGATGTAAGAAGAAATAAAGGACGTGATTCAAAATGCGTACATGTATGGAACTGGTTTGTGTTTAGAGTGGGGCTACTGAACCAAAGTGTTGCTATAAGAATACTATAGGGGATATTGGTTGATTCGAGTTGTTTGACTACACATGGAATCCCCATATGTTGTATTTTGGAAGAATGATACATCTTGATATGCTGCTTGCCATTTTCGTCAAGCATTCTTTTCAATGGTGCAGAGGTACGACATCATTTATTTTATTGTTTTCAACTTGCATGAACATGGTGCTTTTACTATGAACATCGGCTTTTTATTGTGATTGTTTGTTTTTAGGAATTGCAGCCTTTGAGATGGAGTATGGACATTGGAATGATGAGAGAAACTGGCAAATCTCAGAAATGAGATTTTCTTTAAAATCTCATATTAGTGACATAGACCTCAGGATTCTGGTGGATGGTATGATGAACCACTATACTGAAATCTATCGCATGAAATATTTTCCTTTTGTTAAGATTGTCACTGAATAAAGTTTGGCACACTATTATAAGCAGTGGTATCCTTGAACACATGATATAGAGTAACAAGTGTGTTTCATGGAGAGATTGAATATCCTTTAATCTGTAAAAATTAATACTAAATTATCTGTTTCTA